ATGTTGTGGTTACAGAACAGGGATATGTGGGTCCCTGTGGAAGTGTGCATTACTTCTGTGTGGGGGACTGTACTTGCATACTAATAATAGTCATGAAAAGTGCTGGCTACCCCTGAAGATTGGCCGCTGTTTTATTCACATGAAACAAACAAACAAACAGCAACGGTTTTTTGGTCTGGTTTGCTAAAGATCTCAATCTTCACCAGGGAAGCTAAGCAACAAGCAAAATTCTCCCTTTGTGAGTCAATGAACTGCTGCAACTTGCAGTGGTGCTTTTCTCTAGGGACATCCACTCATCATGAAAGGGACAAGGCTCCTCCATGAGCACTGACCATTTCACAGATGTTGGGTGGGGTTTTGAAGCCACAGTGGGAACTGGGCATCCAAATTCCCTACAGGTTAATGGGATCTGACTTACAGAGTTCCTTAGTCAGCTTTGAAAAACAGCTGCAATATTTAAAATTACCCTTTCCATCTGACTTCAATCAGAGGCCTAGAAGATACTCAGTTTCATCAGTTTCATTGGCTTTTGCTCACCAGACTCTCTGCAGAGGGATTGTGTAAGAAGCAGAAAAGATAAACTCTGGAGACATTGCCTCCCATGCCTTGATAACAGAATACATGAGGAATAACAACAGGAAGGAAAGAGGGTCTCCTTAAAACAAGAAAATAACGGCTTTTGTAAGGACTCAAAATCTGTGCTGTGAAACACAGCCTTCTCCACACCCATTCATACAACGAGCCTCCTAAAATGTGAGTAGACTTGTTGGGAATCCTGGTGCAAAACTGTCTTAATTTTCCTTGATGGTACATGATCCCTCAGCTGAAGTTCATTGAGTTTTAGCCACTGCTGGAATCAAAGGGTCTTTCTTGGGCAGCTGGAGAACTAAGAGAGTTTTCACATCATGAGATAAGACCTGACATCATCATGACCAAGGCCACGCTAGAGAATTCAGGAACTAATGACCCCTCAGCTTTGGGCCAGATCAGCATCACATAAAAATATTAAAAATAGAAAAAGTTGAAAGCACTGACTATCACACTTCCTATTAAACAATTTCTCTCACACCTGAAACTTATATAAAATCCCTGCCAGGCAGTGTCTGTATTTCAGAAACCAAATGAGAACCATGTGGAGGATCTTTGGCTTCGTGATCATGTATATTTTTTTAGCTTTGCATGGGGAGGAGAGACGATCCACAAATCTATAATTACTACTACATAAGCCACTGCTATAGACTGTAGCTGGAGGAAGTTACAGAGAATATGAGCCTTTATATAATAGAGAACATTGGCTATGATGCTGCTATGGTGAAAGATTGAGACCTTAATTTTAGCCAAGAGAATTATATGATGTGGGTCCCTGCAATAGCAGGAAGAAAACTGAGACGTTCCAGCTCTATGTGTCAAGTACTTATGAAAATAATTAACGTTCCAGCATTGCCATTTAGTCAGCTGATTTCTTTCCAGCTCTGCATGGCAAAATCTTTCTAATACTCCACATTTTTCTGTGTTGCCTAATATCTCCTGTGTAAAAGAATCACACAAAATGCTGTAGGTTAGATATTCAAGTATTAAAAGCAACACATACAGAATGATTCTCATGGCTTGTCCTTCAAAAAGTTCAGATTAAATAACTTCATTGGCATTAACTTGGATTGCCTGTGTGTGTGCTCATGGGAAGTTTCAAAGAATGATTTGCTTTTAATAAGTTATAGCCATTTCCAGAGGAGGGAGGAAAGCATGGCTCTAGTCATCATGCTTCTGTGCATTGCTTCACTACCAGGTCACTGTAGTCTTTGGTATTTCAGTTTAAAGCACAATGACCTAAATAGTCTGAGAATGTATTTTTCTTGCTAAGAACTATATGTGGGAGCAGACTTGGCCTCTCAGTATCACCAAGGTTGAAGTTTCCTGACCTCTCTGTCTGTCAGTCCACATGTATGCTTTTCTAATTAAATCCCCTGTTGGATTAGATATTTCTAACAGCGTGGTTCCCCAAAAGAAAGAGGAGTAAAGTCAGGAGGGTGATGAGATGCACAACCAAAGACCGAATTATGTGTGCTGCTGCAAAAGTTATTTCATATTTCAAAAATGATTGAGCTTAAGGACCCAGGATGGAAGATGTGGGAAGATGAGGAAATGTGGGATTAGAGGAACACAAGGGATCATGAGACTGCATTTGTCTGCATCAAAATGCACCTTGACAGAAGCAAGTTAAATGAGGTATGGAGAGTGAGCAGGACAAGCAGAAGGGGAGAAGAGGGTACAGAGAACTGGGGAAGAGTATTTTCATGCTTTTTAAAAGGAGGAAACAAAGAGTGGACTATAGAAAAGAGGCTTCTAGGGAACCTGGAGAGAGACAGAATGGTCTAAACAGCCACATCCAGTGTAATAGGGTGGGTTTGGGGCAGTCAGTCATATATGAAATAAAGATGTTTTACAAAAATTTCATACTTCAAAAGTGTCTTTTACCAAACTGACAGTCAAGCTGAATACCTCAGGAGGGGTGACCTAAAAGCCCAGTCAGACTTGCCTATCTACCAAGCCAACCAGATGGCCAAGACTGTAATTAGGAGGGTACAAGGCTAAGCTGCTGCATTCCTAGCTCAAAATTAAAACCTTTTCTCAAATTCCAGAGGCATCTCTGGGCTCAAGGTGGAGCTGAATAGGGAGTGGGGAAAGATTATATATTTGGCTTTCTTTAACGTGAGTCAATACTGAATAGTTTTTAATCTGTCCTTTGTTTATCAGTTCCATGGGCAGAAGGTTAATAGTGGAGTTGCTGGATACAACAATAATTACCTTTCAAATATATTTAATTTTTTGTATTTTCTGCTTTATGATGTTGTGATGCAGAAGACAGTAAGTTCACAGTAGTATGAAAGGAATCCTGATGAATGAGCATTTCCTGTTGGAGGTTTTGGAGGTTTTATTTTTTCATTTGATGGTTTAGAAGCCAATTGAGATTAATTACTTTTTGGAATAACACTGCCAAAGTTTGTCTACAGGGCAGGGCAAAAAATCTTCCTTTTCCTTTTTTATTTGTAAATATTCACCTATAAAATCTAATAATATTAATTAAAAACATGTTTATAGTTTACTAGAATTTGAGCAGTTTAGGTACATATTTAACATTCCAGTGATTGTGCAATAGCCTTTTGATGTCTCTTTAGCAGAACATATGGAATACTTTGGGTTGATTGGTCAAAACTGTTACTCTCATGGCCCAATTTTTCCCAAAGTGATTGCTTGTAATAACACAGCCTGGCAAAAATTCTACACAAACAGCAGCCCATTTTAACATCAGTATTTCACAGGGATTTGGCTGATGTTCTGGAGAATTTGTTTGGGTGTTTTGTTGTTTGTTTTGTTTGTTTTTTTTTTTAAGAGTACAGTGCAAAAACAAAGAATGTTGGCTGGGAGAAAACAACTCAGTGTCAGGATTGCAAGGTAGGAGGACCAGTATAGAGGTCAAAGTGACCTAAAATACTTTTAGATTAGTTAAAAAGCATTTGTTTAATGGATGAAGAAGAACTTTTGACATTTGTCGAGAATCTATACATATGTATGTATATATACATATATATAAAATAATGAAGATTGACAGGACTATTAGAGTCAAGCCAAGAAGGATTAGGATGCTTCCACTGTGGAAATTATGTGGCTGGAAATATGCACATGACTGTCTCTGTGTGTGGACATAGGTAAAATCATACTAGTTACTAAAATAAGATGTTTTCTCAGGGTGCATTAAGTTTTAAATAGAATCTATTAGACATAGGTTTCAAGGAGCTGTCTCAAAAGAGGGAAAAGTAAATCCAGTTTTGGCCAAGGAATCACAACTGCTGTATCTATAGTTACTGCAAAGAAAGCATCCTCTGTTGAGATTCATGTTTAAGACCTGGGCTTTTTAGAAAGTTCTTAAATATTTTCATTTTTTTCCATTACCAGTTAACTAGTTTAAGTAAAGTTAATGATGGAAATTACAGTTTGAGTTCTCCATCTTTACTCTTTTATTTTTTTGTCAGTTAACAAGCTTCTTGATTCTCTTTACTTTTATTGAACAGGATGTAAGTATAAGAACTCTAAGTGTTACACAGTTTTTCTTCTATCTTGGTAAAATCTTTGGAAACCTGGATACATGGAAGACAGCAGTAACTGCTCATGCACTGGCAAAGGTCCCAAGAAGCAAACCAAACCTTGCTAGTTGTTTTAATAATTATTTCAGCACTGCAAAGAAATTCGTGTCCTACTGAAATCAATGGAAATTTTGCTGTTAGTTTCAAGGCAGCATTGATTTTACTTTTTGTGAAATATCATAAAAGTGTGTGTGATATGCTGGCAGTTGAGAAATATTTGTTGCCAAATGATCCCGGCAATGAATTAACAACCTAATCCAAAATACTTTAAGAGCCATTACAGGTATCCTGTGATTTTCCTGACACTTCCAAAACTGTTCTGTATCTCACATTCTCCTTGCAAAAGATAAATGTTCCGTGGACAACATATTCTAAGTTTTAATTAACATAATCTATTATCTCTGCTTTGTGTTCTGCCTTAATCAAACAGTCTTATACATAATTTCACAGGGGATCATGACATGAATATAACATGTGCATGTGCCTGACTTCATGTGAACAAACTCAGTGTGTGTTCACACAACACACATATTTTTGCTTCCTTCTTACATTGTTCTCCCTTCCCATTTTGAAGTTTTAGTTTTCTTCAGAATGCCAAACCAGGCTCCCACTCCTATCAGCAGCTTGTGATAGGCTGAGTAACAAAAAAAGGACAAGACAGGTATGACATCTAACAAATTTGAGCCTCATCAACCCAGGGACTTCTGAGTTTTAATGTATGTCTTTTTCTGGCTGGTGGTACTACCACATGTTGGCACTTGTGTAGTTGCAAAAAATAAAGACCAAGCATATTTGTTTTGTTTTTGCAATTTTTATTGATACTTCATTTTTCAAATTACAGTTTCTTCTGACCTTAAACAATAGCTGTAGTGCTTATTTTGTGCCATATTCACCAATTTTCTTGAAAAACTACTTCATTGAGAGGCCTACTTTACTTGTTCAGAAAGTTAACTAGAGGAAGCAGCTCGATCATCTGGTGTGAGATGTTTGTGTGGATGTACAACATGTGACAAACCCATCTGATAACACTGTGATTTCCTATCTGCTGTAAGACACCTTGTCTCCCAGGGGCTGGCTCTCCAGGGAGGTAAGTCCTTCACTGGGAGCTTCACTAGGGCTGTTTTCACCAGATGAGTCTCCATCACTTGGACTTCCTGAAAAGACAATATAATTGAGATTATAAGAGATGTTATATCTTTGATGCAGCAAGCTGTGAGGTACACACTTGGTCAACGACACTTAAAAGAACTTTATGCAGCTATAAATGTTCAGGAAGATATTTTTCTCAGTTTGCAGTCCATTTGCAAAATTTAGGGTAATGGCAGATCACCTGATGGTATTTAAGTGTTGTGCCTCCATCACGCTTTAAATAACTGCCATTGGAATGCATAATAGTTTGCTCTCATAGTTTGCTCTCCAATCGTGCAAGACTTTTTTTTTTTTTATTATTATCTCCTGATACTTCCCTACCAGGCAGGAAGTGTGGGGAACATTAATTTTTTTGTCTGTCTGGAATACATAAGGCTCCAAAGACCCCACCTCTGGTGGGTCTCGTCTTCATTATCCTTTTCCTTCTATGGTTTTAGTCTTCCACCCTATTTCAATGATGCATTTGCCTCAGCACCACCAAACCATGTCAAGAAGGTGCACTGAGGGTGTTTATTTAATGTCTCCTGGAGACAGTGTTCTCACAGCTGCACAGATATCCCCCATATTAAAGGAATCTGTTTTCTAGCTGAGATTTCCAAAAGGGAGGTGTGAATAGAAAGGATAAAAGATTAATTCTAACCACAACATTCCTGCTTCAGCTTTGATTAGAGTCTGAACTAAGAACACTGTTGCTTTTTTTGGACTCTTATGTGGTTACCCTTGGTGTCCCAGAGCTCATGGAGAAGGCTTCAGCTTCTGTACCTGTTTTCAACAGATGGGGTCCAGTCTGGCTAACTTGGACATGTAAAATATGCCCAAATGTCTAAATGTAGGCACAAGAATTGGGGCAGACAAGACTCAACTTTGAGACACTAAAGGTATCTCTTTCTCCCCATTTGCAACACTGCTTAAAGAGGCACTTCTTTTACGAGGACAGGTTCTGTTTAGACTACAAGTCAGATGAGTAAGAGATGAAGACTGGATCCAAGTCCACCTGTTTGGGATGCAGTGAGAGGCCCCTTATAAAGGGACTCAGTGTTAGGCAGTACAGTCCACCACACTGTACAAGGGGAATTTTAGCTTTCAGACATCTGTCTGAATATGCATAAACATTCTGGAGCTCCTGTTTTTAACTGAATTTCAAGTTGTTAACACATTCTCTGGAAAAAGCCATCCACAGCTTATTTTTTCCACAATGGCCACTCTTCTTGTTTATCGTTTTGATGTTTCCCATGGAAACCGTCATAATTCAAAATATAACACATGTCTTTGAAATGCAACCATGGGAACTCCATTTACTAAATACAAACCTTTTCAAGCATCATCAGTTTCATAAGTCCCCAGGTAAACTGCTCCCCAAAATGCCAACTTTACAAACTGGTCTCAAACAAAACTTCAAGAGATTTATAGTTCATCTGCAATGAAACAGATTCAAACGCCCCTCCATAATTTGTAAAGGCACTGCCAGCAAACACCATGATGAATCATTGCATTTATGACATGAATTTTGTTAAATTATCTCCAATTACATCTACATACATTCCATTTATATGCCAGGAACAAATTATACATTCCATCAGTAAATATTGTGGTCTGATCACAAAATGAAACACCTACTTCAACTTGGACAGTATTTTACTGAATGGAAAGAAAATTACAGGTAATAGTTAAGCTAGATATATACACAACAGCTTCTAGATCCAACAGTGAATAACTTAAAGACATGTAAGATTCTAAATATGAGAGGTTTTTATCCCAGAAACTGCAATTTATGAGTTTAGCATAAACCACAGCAAGGAATACCTCGGTTTTCTGTTGGACTGAGCTTTGAGCTTTCAGTTATCCTTAATTTGACATTAAGTCAAGACATTTCACCGGGCTCTATACAAAGGATCAAGAAAGATTTTTGAAAAGCTAGTTTCAGTTATATTTCATGATCACTGGCTTGTCTAGTTCTTCTCCATTTTATTGAAATATATTGGGGTTTTTTGCTTACAGATCACAGATGACATATGAAGCTGAAAAAAACTGATTTCAAGGAAAAGGTGTGGACAAGACGGAATTCATCACAACAGGTTGAGATTGCATCAGACTACATTCTGTACATCTCTGCATTTAATGTGAAAACTGGATTGTTGTTGCTGATGCACATGTAAATTCCATCTGTTTGGCAGGAGGCCACAGATTGCAATCCATAATAACCCAAGAACACTATCATGGACATTTATATTTATTGAAAGGTGGGAAAGATTGGATCTCAGAGTAGCTGACTGACAGCCTGACAGCACTCCAGGAACAGAGGCTGGAGCAGTCAGGTAACAACAAAGGTGCAGTGCTTCTGTTCTGAAGGGAGGTACAGCATGTAACCCTGGGTGCAAAGGAGACACATCAACAAAGTAGCAACATGATGCTTAGGGACGCAATTCCTGCAGAATCCAATTTTGGAGAGCAATGCAAGTGATGAGCTTGTACTGATGGACTGACACACTTCAGCACAACATCTCAAAAAGAAATTGAGGGTGTTCAGCCATCAGCATCCGAATTTTATACTGTCTTTCTAGGTGAACTGATGAACATTATGAATCTTTTTTCCAAGGAGGTGGGCTCATTTTGTTATCAAGAGATGCACAGCAAGAGTCTCTATGGTCTCTATAGTCTTCCAGGATGAGGTCTGGAACAGAAATGGGTTTGATGTGATGCCTATCAAAATTGTATGAGAAGTTTCAGTATTCCAAGGCGAGATAAGATTAAAGATGACTATCAAGGCAAGGCAACAAGCCAACACTGCTATGAGATGGAATTTAGCAGGAGTCAGCTGTGTAACTGCATTGCCATGGCGCTGGGGCCAAGCAAACACTGGCTTAAAGAGCCGGCTGGGTGTTCTCAGTTATGCTTGAAGAACAACATGTTGACATGTACTTTTTAAACCTTTCCTTGACAATCTATACTCCATAAATTTCACACTTTATGGCTTGTTTTCAAAAATTTTACTTAACTTCGTGAACTCTTTCAGTGTGTTTTTCTCTTCCTCTCTCTATTTTTTTGTTTAACTTTCCAGTATTTGGCTTTGGCCACTGACAAGGGCAGGATATTGAGTTAGACAGATCATTGGACTAACTCATACACGAATGTTGTGTTCTTATGCCAGTTTGGATGGTTTTAAACCTTCTCTATGCCAAAACTAATCTGTCCTGGTAGATATTTTTCCACCTTTTGGGGGGATTTTCTGTAAGTGCTGGGAAGAGCCTCTGTCCGTGGTGCTTGGTCAACAGTTGCGACTTCAGCTCAGTCTGGCATTACACAGACATAATGCTGCGAGGTGAAGTCCCAAAAGATCTAGAAGTTATAGCCAGGACTGTTTAAACATCAGAATCAAGCTTTGAAAATTAGCAATGTCTCAACCACGCAGAAAGCCATTGGAGAGATCAAAATATTTCAGAACTTGAAAGACACTGAGGGATATCAGGAAACTGATCAAAAGGCTTTCTGCAAAATCTTGAGTCCACTTTGAAAGAAAGATCATGAGTGAAGATTAAAGCTGTCTCTTCAATAAGAGAACTGATGCCTTGTGTTTGCATCAGAATCACCAAATGAATGATTCTGAGACATTATAGTTTTGTGTTACACGAACGTCAGCCTCAGCCCATTTGAAGTCTTCTGTCAGCCACAGATACCCTGGGTAGTTTGGTGTCTTGGAAAGTACATTTTGTTCCCAGAATTGTAACGGTCCCCAAAAGCAGAGAGGGCCTGAAGATGAAACCTTAGGACATAAAAAACACTTGCAAACTTGCAGGCCTCCAAGAACAATTCAAAACATCTCTGCCTGCCAAAAAGGGATGGTTTTGTTTGCTTTCCTTAAGGCTATCCAAATTTATTTACAAGATACAAAGACATGAAGGAGACTTTATTCACTAGAATAAATTCAGGACAGGCATCAGATTGAAATCTCTGCAGAGTTGGTTTTACTGTCCTAAGCAGTAAGAAAAAAATGGAAGTACTCTCATAGCTGCATTGAAATTTACGGTGACAAAGGAGAAATACAAGGGGCATAATCAGCATAACTATAAAAAGAAAGTCAGAGAAATTTATCTATTGTGAAGTCAAAGCATACAGGAACCATAATGACATATAACTAAAGCCTCAGTTACAACTTTACAGTGGATAGATGTCATTGTGCTCCTCCTAAACCATAGGAATTTCAGCATTCTCCTGTTAGGTGTTTCCAGTAGACAAAACAGGCCTGTATACCCAGCATTCCAACTTAGGCAAAGTCTATATTATAACTGCAAATAGAGAGCAAACTATTAGAAGATATAGCTTTGTTGTATCATCACAGCAGGAAGATTTCTCTAGCTCTAACTCTAGGGCAATTAAACTTTATTATACACTATCTGCTAGAAAATAAATTTGCTTACTGTTGCATCCTTTCACTCTCAGGACAGTCTTAACTATATGCCCTAGACAATGAAAAATGTTTAATTTATGAAAAGTGTTCTTCCACAGTGATATAACAAAGTTACAGTCAGAGGAAAACATTAGGCTGAAAATTTAGGTTTTATTTAATGTCACAAAATGCTTTTCTCACCTGTGGATGCTTTCAGCCTTCTGATATAATCAGACCAAAAGGAACAGTCTGCTTTTTTCAATCCTTTAAGAGTTGGTAAAGAAACAGTGAACTCCTTGTAGTTATCACCATCATCACTTGACAGATACATAGGCCAGAGGGGCATCACCCCCAACATCCTCCTCGAGAAGCTATGAAGGTAGTTTGGATTTCTAAGGGAGCAGGAGAAATGATCGTTAGAAAACAATGACATGAACAGTAAAGTGAGAAGAAGATTGGGTAGGTCAGGGAAATGTGTATCCAGTCCCTCTGACCAGCAGGGCTCAAATTCAGTCCACATTGGTGAATCATTCATGGTAACTTGTTAGTCTGGTTAACTTCCTAAGCAATAGACCTGTACAGACACAGGTTTATGAACATCCTCAACAGCCCTCAATCCCAACCCAACACAAGATACTGTAAAAAGCACATAAAGTCACCCTTCCCCCTATTCTCACTATTCTAGAGATACTCCTCATTCTGGAGGTTGGCCACAGCACAGTAAAGCTGTAGGCTTACAAGTTGTTAGAGGAAATGGAGGCTGTTTGAGAGAGGGCAGGATCTACACTGACTACACTCCCTCTACTCTTCACCGCCTCCCCAACCACAGCACCCTTAAACGTTACACACTTACCCAGAGTTTACAAAATTGGAGATATACTGCATAATTCGCAAGGAAAGGCCCTTTTCTTCCGGAGTAAATTGCTGTTCATACTTCGGGTAGAATGGAAGACCAAATGCATACTGAACATCCAGCAAGAGCTCCTGACCTGAGCTAAAGTAAATATTTATGGAAAGATAATTAAACCCATCATTTATTTATTTGGGTAAGAAAAGGATATAATTTAATTCAGAGAATAAAGCAAAATGGTAAATAATTAATGACCATTAATTAGAGTGTGGAGAGCTGAGGGACTTTTTCAAATCAAAACATAAAAGAAGAGCAAGCAATAACAGGGAGAATTTGCCATTAGGTTAATGCAGGGTCTTTAACATTTGTTACAAGAGGAAATTGTGGAAATTGTATCAGGGCACATTTTCTAAATTAAAGAGAAAGTGATAGAGGGAGAAAGTCCCTTGGCTATTCCTTAAATGCCTCTTAAGTTATGGACAGACTTTCACTAAATTCAGAAAGTGGAAGCAAGTGGTGACATGGATTCTGGCAGCCACAACGGAAGGTTAATTATGGTTTATTTCATAGGCTTGGAATAAAATCCTGGCCCTTCTTAACAGCAATTGGATTTTTTCCATTGACTTCACTGTGGCCAGGATTCTGACCCAAATCTTTGGATAAGAAAAGATGTAATAGGAGATGTTTATCAAGATTTTTCTTAGACATAGTTTTAATCTAATTTCTCTGCTGGCTGGGTGGTTTTGACTCATACACTCTGTTCTCCCCTAGTTTTATATGGCAGTTGAGTCAAAACAGCTTGAGATAATCACTTAGATCAGATTTAAGAAAGAACAATTCTTGAGTAATTCCGTGTAATAATTAACACATATTCTAAGGAACATTTCAACAATTCACAGACAAAACTGGCCAGGTAAGACCACAACACTTGCATGACTTAACAGTAAAGGTCACACACCTCAACATCTTCAAGTGCTGCAGAAAAACAGTGGCCAACTTCTACTAATAAAATTATAACTAAACAATGCTCAACACGTAGCTTTGAACCACGTCTCAGAAGGAGACATTTGTGTTCTGGTCCAATTGAGTTTTGCATATCCCACATTTAGACAAAGGTCTTATTGACTTGGTTTAGTGCTGCATGAAGGCAGACAGCATCAGGGAACCTGGGAGAAGGAGCAGATGTCTGTGAGGCAAGAACAAATAAATTCCAGATCCACTCAGCAAGATTTGATCTGCACTAGCTGCAGTGGCTGCTATCGACAAGTGTCACAACTGAAACTATTTTATCTTTGGGCATGAAATGCAGCAGCATTGATATGACCCTGATACTGCCTCCAAAGGAACAAGGAGTGTAGTTCAAACCATTATGGGCAGGTGGGCTGAAAGCAAGATGACTCTTTTACATTTTATGAGTGGTGGCACCAAAACCTCTATTTTGAAAAACAAACACACAGCCCTCTAAATGAAATACATCTTTGGTTGTGTTTTCCTTAGTCTTATCATAATACCTCAGTAATACTTTGCATCTGGAAAGTGAATTATTCACAGATTATTCACCAAAAAAATGTAGAGCTGAAACGAGATTAAAGCATATTTTTCTTCCCCAAATGTTTATAGAAGGATTAAGCAAGATCATAGTTTAATAATTTTGCCTTAAAAATAATTTGTTTGGCCCAGTATACAACAGCAATTTCTAGTGTCAGTATTCCAGCAAAGGTATGATATACTTAAAGGAGCAATTTTCTTTTCAATGAAGAGTCACCTTTGATTAGATTACATGACATGAAACTAGTTGAGGTGCAATGAAGAGACGAGTGTATCCATTTTGGGAAGGCATAGCAGAGGTGAACTTAGCTGTGAAGCTAAAACAAGTGAGCTGGGACTGAGGTTTTCCCCCAAATGAGACTGTGTTCTCAGTCCTCACATTTCTAGAGGTGAAAACTGCTGAATTTCAGTCTGGGCTGTGACCTTAGCAGTCTCTTAAATACTTAACTTTTTAGGTTTGAAATTATTTGTACGACTCTATTGGGTTTGATATAGAGACACAAAGTGGTACAAAATGCTATAATTTCATGGGCTGCTTTCAATATTTCTGGTTGATGAGAAAGAAAACATGAGGATGGGAAAAAATCCCTAAGGTTAAGAGGGGAAAGAGGCACATAAACAAATGCACAGAACAACAGGAAAGACAACTGGGAAACATATTGATATAGCTAGATGGGAAATATCAGGGGAATATTTCTGTCTCCTCCCTCAAACTGATCATAGAATCACAGAATCAAAGAATGATAGCATGGGTTGGAAGGGACCAGAGGGGAGTGCAAAATAGCCAGAAATATCCAAACAAGGACTTTGGAGTGTTGTAGGAGCTCTGAGCATACTCAAGGTAGCACCAGGTAGAGACACTGTTTTGACTGGAAGAAAAGTGGAGTGAGAGAAAGAGAGGAGTGACAAGTAAACATTTACTGGTCAGGTACTATAAAGGTGCTCAACAGCAGAAATTCTAAATGGGGAAACAAAGGCTCCACAACCAGTGCACTTCAGAGCACAGTTTGACAAAAGGGAGGACAGCAAGAGATAAGGGCAAAGGGGTTTTTTTAAGTATTTTGAAGGGAGCCAAACTAATAGCAACTAACTTCCTCTACAGAAGTCCCTTTTCAAAGAACAGATCTGTTATTTTACTAACAGCAGCAAATGCAATTATGTGTAAGGATGAGATCTTGAATTTTTTGATTACACAGGACTATTACTAGGAGCCAGATCCTACCCCTTTGTTCACACTAAAATGAGCTCCCTGTGGGGAATTTTCAGTTCCCCTCAGAAGGAGGCGCTACTGGAGTTCAGTTATCCAGTTTACAGAAAACCAGGTGGCAAAATCCGAATCTTGGTGACATTCATAACCAACCATTTAACAGCAGACCCTGAAACATCATTTGCTGGGAATTTTCATTATCCAGTGCCAAGCCATTTAATTGGAAAGGTATAGGTTCTGAGAAATTTTTCCTTGAACCTGAGATGGAGTTTCCAGTTAAATGTTTCCAAGCAAGAAAGACAGAAGGGAATTACCTAGCCATTCAGATACTCCACTGCTCTCTCTGAAGAACTGTGGCTACTTTCACATACAAAGAATAGCTTGAACGGGGAAGAGTAAAAGATGAGTAGATCAGAATTTAGAACAAAAATACCCAGTTAATGGTTGACTTGGTTTAAATTTGTGTTCCAAATCAAAGAGAGCATAGATGTAAACCCCCTCATCCAACAGCTGAAGTTAGCATCTTAATTACAAGCTTTTGGAACAGAAAAAAAACCCAAAAAACAAAAAACAAAACAAAAAAAAAAACAAAACAAAAAACAAACAAACAAAAAAAAAAACACAAACAAAAACCAAAGCAACAACAACAAAACCACCCAAAGAAAAACCCCCCAACCAAGCCCCCCAGCTCAGAAGTCCTCAAAAATTTTGTTTGCCAAATGGAATTGCCATTACTGGCTATCCATAGTCATGGCAGTCAGAACAGAAGAACATGATCTGGCACACCACCATGCTCTTCTTATTAGGACTGAACACACAACTTGGAGCTGGGGCTGCAGGGACCTCACAGTGTGTTCTGTGGTAAATTAGGACATATATCTCATCTTGAACTCTTTCCTTGCCCTAGGTCTGGCTAATTAGTTCATACTGGAAGCTCATTTTGATGATTAATGACTGACTCTGGTCTAATATTTCTCTTTTTTTTCCTTTCAGTTAAAAATAGTCCTTAATCTCCTTTTCAACTAATTTCAACTAATCTCAAAGCCTTTTGAGTCATAGCTTCTATTCTTAGTTGCCTTAATGTAGTTTTTGTTTTTTTTTAAAAAACTCCACACACATGTGGAAGCCAATGTAAATCATCTCAAAATTCAAATGATATCCTATACGATACAAAAACACCAAACTTCCCAGAGCTATCCAGTCATTTAAATTTTAAAATAACAAGACAAACATAACAAGCTAAAGTTCAGCCAGAGTTACCAGTGATCATCTGAGAAATTGAGAAGAAATATTGTACTCAAACTCAAGTCAGTCACTGAACCGAGCAGATACTGGCAATCTGGGACAGACTGGAGAGGTAAGAAAACCATTTAAACCTTTAATGTAAACCTCTATGAGAATAACTGCTCATTCTAACAGTTCTGTGAAAGATTTAGTGTTAGAGATGGGACCTCGGCTTTGAGTTCCTAGTCTCGCAATCATGGCCCCATTAGTGAGAGCAGACCTATCATCAGAAAAGCCAAAAAAAGACCTCTCCACTGTCACTTGGCTTTGGTGAGAAGAGGTTATTTACATCCTGATTGAGCTGAACAGCAGAGGTGAAACCCAGACTCATAGAGTTGGTGATAAATCTCCCGCTGATTTGAGCCGAAATAGGATTTCATAAACACCTTGTCCCTGGAGAAGAGGAGGTCATTTATATAGAATGTTCCACTGCCTTCATGCTCCTGTGGCCCCAATCTGTGCTTATTTTTAATAAATGGATTTTAAATTATTTTTTGCAAGAATTATTGGAAATATTTAATGTGCTTTTTGCACCCATCTGCATTATCTTCATATTAATACCAGCAGATTTGCAGTGTATGTTTGCAGATCTAGTATCCCAAGATGTGGACAGGCACCATTTCATCCATGTCATGGGAGAGGGGCAGCTTACCAACACTGCACTTTGGCTGAAATGAAGTGTTCATTTTGATGCTAAGCAAAAATAATTTTAAAAAATTACCTATAGCCACACATCTTATAAAAGGAAATGGTATCTGACCTCAGGGAGAAGAAAATAATCAAAGGATAGCTGGATATTTATAGAAATTTAATGGGCCAACGTAAGGCCTGATGTGACCTCTGCAATTCTAGAGATGCATTTGGCTCACTGTGTCTCCTCTCATTACAAACTCCTGCCAAACAAATGGGATAAAGGATGTGAAAAACAGATGAACATTCTTTTCTTTCTTCTTTTCAGGAAAATCAGGACGTATGGAAAAACTTAACTCCTAAAAGGATTAAATTGCCAAGTTTATCCACATTTGTACCAAAAGAGCCCTATAGATGCATGTGACTTGCAAAAGTATCCTGGAGTTTGCTGTGTCTTTTCCACTTGAATTACTCC